GGTTTGAATGAACGGAGCGAACTATATACCATTTTTGACATTAGGCTTTTGTTTCAAATATAAAATAGACGAGAGAAATTATAGATTATCAAACAGTGTGGATGTTTATGGTTGTTCTGTTGTGTGCACTATGTGTTATTTTTCAGGAAATATTAGGCAATTTCTTTAATAATGTTAGAAAGCAACAGAGATATTTTATCCAATAATTTTAAACTTAACTTTTTTATAAAAAGCATATATTTGTTTTTTATTTATCTTATAGAGAAATACGTGAAAAAAATATAGTTATCTAGCATCCAAGGTGGGATTGCAATGTTGGAAAATAAATCGAGGACTATGTACACTGCCCAACAAATATCTACTTCATAAAATTTTCCAAGAAAATTATTATCACGTTTAATGTATTTTGGTGTGGTCATTTCATAAATATCACTGTTTTTTGTGTAGCAGCTCTAGTTTTTAAGATTCTTCAAACTACCCGCATTTTAGGTGACGGAACAATTTAATTGAGTTTCAACGAGTGCATTATTTCTTTTTTTCACAATCAAAACAATGGCTACGAAGAAGAGACGTTGTTTAAACGATTCAAACAGTTTTTGTGTTATTTGTGGCGAATACACCTTTGCAAAGTATCGTAAATCGATCACGGACTTCGTTAAATCTGCCTATTTCAAGTACTTTGGAGTGCATATTTCCAATCTACAGAAACCATGGGTGCCTAATACCGTGTGCCAAAATTGTGTTGTCTCTTTGCGACAATGGTCAAATGGAAAAAGATCAGCTCTCAAGTTCAAGACACCCATGATCTGGCGGGAACCTCGTAATCATCATGATGACTGTTATTTTTGTATGGTTAACATTACGGGTATAAACTCTGCAAACCGGGATAAGTGGTCATATCCGACGTTGTCTTCTGCTCAGAAGCCCCTTACACACTCAGACCAATCACTAGCACCAGTACCATCGACATCATCAACAAGTTTTGAACCAGAAAATATAGAAAATGAAGAAGAAAAACAAGATTCCGACTCTGATTTCACACCTAGTCAAGAGACAAAACCTCAACCATTCAATCAAAGTGAGCTAAACGACTTAATAAGGGATTTAAATCTATCGAAAGAGTCTTCTGAAATTTTGGCATCTCGTCTGAAAGAAAAAAATCTACTTACTCCAGATACAAAAATTACATTTTATCGTACTCGTGAAAAAGATTTACTTCCATATTTTTCCTCTGAAGAGAATTTAGTTTACTGTAATAATGTTGAAGGTCTTATACAAAAGATGGGTTTACAAAAATATATACCAAGCGAATGGCGTCTTTTTATTGATAGCAGCAAAAGAAGTTTGAAGAGTGTACTTTTACACAATGGAAATAAGTATGGTTCTATACCTATAGGACACTCAACTTCTATGAAAGAAAGATATGAAAATATATCTTTAGTGTTGGAAAAACTGAAGTATGACGAGCATAGCTGGAAAATTTGCGTAGATTTGAAGATGGTAAATTTCCTCCTAGGACAACAGGCGGGTTATACTAAATATCCGTGTTTCATATGTTTATGGGACAGCCGCGACAAAAACAAACATTGGACTCAAAAAGTATGGCCACTAAGGGAGTCAGTGATTGTTGGTAAGCAAAATGTAATCAATCCACCTTTAGTAAATCAAGATCGAATTATATTGCCACCACTTCATATAAAACTTGGTATTATGAAGCAATTTGTTAAAGCCATTAATAAAGATGGCGAATGTTTTGCTTTTCTCTCAAAGAAATTTGCTGGACTGAGCAACGAAAAGTTGAAAGCAGGCATTTTCGATGGTCCACAAATTAGACAATTGATAAAAGACCCCAATTTTGTCGAATCTATGAACGAACTTGAAAAAAGAACGTGGAAAAGTTTCGTTGCAGTAATTCAAAACTTTCTTGGGAATCATAAATCAGAAAATTATTTTCAATTAGTTAACGATATGTTGTCCAATTTGAAACTTCTAGGATGTAACATGAGTATTAAATTACATTATTTACATTCTCATTTGGATCGATTTCCTGAAAATCTTGGAGATTATAGCGAGGAGCAAGGTGAAAGGTTCCACCAGGATATTCGCACGATGGAAGAACGTTACCAAGGGAGGTGGGACATACACATGATGGCCGACTACTGCTGGAATCTTTGTCGGGATCAAATACAGAAGCCTCATTCAAGAAAATCTTATAAAAAACATTTTTTCCCCGAACCGCAGTAATTATTTCAAATAAAGTGTGTGAAAAAATCATAATTTTATATTAATTTTTAACCTACATGTAAATTTTAAACTAGAGCTGCTAGAAAAAAAACAGTGGTATTTTCGTAATCACCACACTTAATTTAATCGAAAACATGTGAAAATACTCTGGAAAATTTTTCAGTGTTGACCAGTGGTATTTTATGTACTGTAGGCATATTTACCTTTTGTATTGTCTATTCGTAGATTTTATAAGATTTTTAATAATTGAATAATTGGCATCTGCTCGTGTAAACAAGAAAAAATATTTTTTATAGTACAAATATACTAAGGATGATCAAAATAAAAATATAACTTATTTTCAATAAATGACGATGAATATTTTCCTATGAAATTGCATCATAAAACGAAATCCCAAAAATAGCTAATGTCCAAATTTACTATGAAATCATGTAGGTTATAAAAACAACGTAAAAACAATAACAAGGGACCAAGTAAATACAACGCAGTTGTACATCTGTTCTTTTAACCATTGGTCATTTACTTAATCTAGCTTTCAGTGATGGTTAAATTTTTTGACAAATGGTTGTAATTCTGACAATTGGTTAGGCTAACTATTAATCAAAAAACATATTTCAAATATTGGGGCTATGTGGATTATGGAGGAATTTTACCCAACAACTCTGAAATCTTAACATCTCATGTTCTTGTTTTCATGATTGTATCGAAAACAAAAAGATTTAAGTGTCCTGTTGCTTATTTTTTTATTAAACAAAATATCAGCAGAGCTTCAATCGCAGTTAATAATAACAGCTATTAGGATGTTATTAGAAGCAAATATTTCAGTGAGATCCCTAACGTGTGATGGCACTTGTGTTAATGTCAAGACATATGAGCTTTTGGGCTGCAGATTCACATTATAATAAATGACAAGCTTCAAACACCCAACAAAAAACTGTCAAATACATTGCATTTTAGATTCTCCCCATATGCTCAAGCTATCCAGAAATACTTTTGCGGAAACGAATATGTCTTCTGCAAAAGGTAACATTCAATTTGATTTTATAAAGCATTTAAATGCATTACAAGAAGAGGAAGGACTCAAACTAACGAACAAACTAAGAAGTACCTACGTTGGTTTTTTTTTTAATTCAAAAAATCCTTTTGGTCAAGGCTTTAAGTGACCACTATATTTGCAAAATATTAAAATTTTTTGAAAAATTTGGATGACAGCACTAACCGAAACTAGAAATTATTTGATGAATTTAAGAATCAACGATAAAAATATCCTTGAACACAGACACAAAACTCCTGGTCTTGGATTTATTATAAATACATTTAGCTTTAAAAACTTGTGTCTTGATTTATTAAAAAGAAATGAACTTGAAGTACTTTTTAACATATAAGTGTTCGCGGGATAATCTTGAAATATTTTTTTCTTGTATTAGAAAGTGTGGCGCCTTAAAAGATAATCCGAGTTCGCTTCAATTTCGGAACACGTTACGAAAGCTTTTGTTTCGCAATAGCGTGCCACCTAGTGTTAACGCTGATTGTGGCATAGAGGATAATTTTGAAATTACTCCTGTTTTGGAATTCAGATAACCCAAACGAGCAATTATTGAGAATGCAGAGACTAGTGATGACCAACAACTTATTCATTTATTGTTTTTTGTCGACAATGAAGAATTTTCATATTACTAAAACAATATATTTTATCACATTGCTGGGTGCTATGCAAAAAAATATGCGAAAAATTAAGTTGCAAACATTATTTTACTGCCTTGTTTATTAAACATGGCAACAAACATGATGATCATGACTATGAACACTCCATTGATGTGTGCAAAGCTTCATCCTTTACGTCATTATAGACAGAGGAAAATTAAAATATGTTTCCGAATTTGTTTTTTAAACTATTATGTACACAGAAAAAATATTCACATTTCACAGCTAAGAGTCATTAAAAAAGATGAATAAAAATAAGATTATATTAATTGTTTTGTAAAACTTATATACTTCTCTGAGAAATTATTTGGATCCCCGGCATCTAGTTTAATAATTTCATTGTGAAGATTCACACGAAATGCAGCTTATTAAAAGCTTAGCGTCTCATTATGTTACCGCACGTTTGATGAGCCACGGTAAAACACAAACATTGAAAATTTTAGGTCACAAAACGACGCTACGACAAAAATTGCATAAAACATTTCTTTTTAGCAATGTGTGAATATGGTGTGTTCAAATTTGAAATAAATTATTCGTTTTTTATTTTTCTGCATACTGAGTTTTATTTTATCTTATGCTTTTATACTACAACTATTTGGTGGCCGCGGCTCTGCCCACGTGGTAAGCCATCATTCATTACCTAAATCAGCTAGTTCTAAAGTAAAAGTAACCTAAATTACCCCTTATTTATTTTATTTTACAATTAGATTTAGATGAAATCGAGTAACATTGGTCTATGCTATAAAAACATGATCCAAACTATCAAGTACATTATATTGTTTGGCATCCTAAATCAATGGTCATTCTTGTGTAAGGGACACAGGGCTCTCGCCAAGCTATCTCACTCGAACCGCGTTTCGGTGAACAGTGCACCATCCAGTTTAGGTATAAGTTACTTGGTACAATGCATTCAGTTTGATGTCCTGAACACAAATATAGAAGATGACAAGCGTGAAAATGTCTAAGTCAAGGGAATTTATAATATTTTTTTTTTTACGTTAACTTAGAAATTTGATTTTCCATTCATAACAAGACCAATTATCAGTAAAACGATGAAAATTTTCAGTTTTCTTAAAAGTGTAAGGGGAAGCAGTATTGTAAGACCAGGAACTTCAACCACATGCAGTGATACACTACAATCTGAAAGAGATGAAACGGATTTCAACTCTGCGGCCCAAAAACAACTGGAGTCTGTTGAACAATCTGCTCTTGAAAAAACGGATATGTATGTTTGTGACAAAGAGTGCACCCACTCCTCGTATTCGGAGAAGAGACGAGTTGGTGAGAAATATATTCCGATAATGGTGATACCCCCCCCCCCCCCCCCGACACTGCTATGCAGCCTGAGCCCTTTTCCCTAAGCGAAAAGGGAGGCGAGAAAGCAGTGGTGGAAGGGTACACAATTGCGACTGTGTCGTCCAGGTCCGCAAACCAGTGTGTAGATTGCGAAATACTCTACGGCTAAGACATTACCACCATGTCTGCTCTAACCCTGGCGGCGCTCTGCAGGAAAAGATCCTGAGCGCCAGCACAATGATTGAAATTACTTTAAAGGATGTTTATCGGATCTAAGCATCAATGGTACCAGGGACAGCCTCCATGGTCATCTCTGACTTCACCGCCATGCTGGTTTTTCTGCTCTCAGGGTTGGGCTTAGGACGGACCCTGGGCGAGTTGCAGCTTTTGCCTCCCATAGTGTGCTTATGGTTACGACCAGCTTCCTCACACACCACGCACCTGGGAGCTGCAGAGCATAAGGCAGCTTTGTGTCCAGGATTTCCGCACCTGAAGCAGAGCGTGCTCACGTTCGAATCCTTAGGGCACGTCTGCCTAGTGTGTCCCGTGTGCATGCACTTAAAGCACCTCAGAGGAGAGGGATCCAGCATGTGCACACGGACACTGCTCCAGCCGACAAGAAGTCTGCCAGCCGCAACTATCTTCTTTGCCGAAGCGATAGGGCAACTAACTAGAGAGGTGAATAGGCCTCCAGGACCTCTGCCCAGAAAACCAACCCTAACCTGTCTAAGCTGGCATCCTCCTTTATTGGCTATGGCCTCCGCCACTTCCTCTTTCGTTACCGAGTCGTCCAGGTTGGTGACACGCAAACTCGCAGTTTTGACCGGCCTGAAGACCTTAGCCACGCCACTGAGAACAGTGGCGAGGCGAGTAGCAAACGACTCCACTTTGTCCTCACTGACCGTCTTGGGAAGTTCAAACTTCCTAGCACCCGTGGCTGTAGGGCGAAGGCGAAGGCCAGTTGGGTCGATGCCAAGGTCGTTGAGATTAATTTCTCCTCTTGCCTTGGCAATCGCCTGCCCATATGTTGCACCCATCTTTTCATTTTCGACACTAATGTCGATCACTATAGCCCATGTTTTAGGGACCTTAACCGTCCTATTTTTCGAGGGCTTCTTTTTCGAAGGAGCCTTCTTTCTATTTTGAGGAGGGGGAGGAGGGTTGGCATCCTTGGGTGCCTTCTTTCTATTACCCTTTCTCACTACAGTCGACCAGGTTTCTTTAAAGTTCTGAAATTGCACAGGTTCAGGCTCTAAACGAGTTCGAGGCTGTGAAAAAGCCGGTTCCGATCGAGTAATTGTCTTGCCAGTCGAAGTAGAGGGGGCAGAAGGAGCCTGCTTTCCCTTGGACTTATTAATCTTTAAAGATGAGGAAGAGGGGGCAGGTTGTATAGTCTGCTGTTGTTGTAGGGCAGATTTGCCCTTCCTCCTTTTCTTCTTCTTTAGGGTCTGTTTAGCTTGTTGAAGCTCAGTAAGACGGTTCCACACCACGGCTGAGCTCTCAGTTGTAGCTCCCTCTGTTGAGGGTTTCACCAACTGCCTGGCAGCGGTTCTGCACTGATCTTCTGGTGAAAGAGGAGGACGATGAGCGTTTATTGACAAGAGGCGGCCCTCAATACCCCTCAGATGATCCTCCATAATATCTCCCACTTTCTTCAAAAGGAGGTTAACAACCTTATGAGAAAGACCAGAGGTATCGTTATTTGCCTCGCTACACGGTGTAATGTCGATGGCCTCAGCCGACAGTTGGGGAGCCTTCTTACGCTGACTCCTAGAGTCACCCCTCGAGTTGAGTGCAAGATCCCTTACTGCTTTCTCTTTTTTGAGGCCAGAAACTTCTAGCCTGAGAGCCTCCAACTCCCTGCCAAGGAGTAGATTTTCGCTCCTTAGCTGCTTAATCTCCTCATCACCCGAAACAGTTAAGGTGCGTGACAGCAGCCTCCTTAGAGCATTGGTGCTTTTTTTCAGTGTACTTCTAACCCCACCTTTGAGGTTTGGGGACTTCTTGTGTTGCTGACTTAAGACCTCAACATGAGCTATTGCCCTACTGTAAATGTCAGCAACAGAAGACACCGCCTTATCACTATCGCTAAGGTAAATCGGATCCTCTTCGTCTGCAGACTCCATATTCGAGAGTTTGCAATCATCGTCCGAATCACGCCGCAACTTGCTCCTAGCAGCAGGGCCAGCCGAAGAAGCCAATGAGCGAGACTCACGGGGAGGGGGAGGATTTTCTCCCTTCATATCTGACGACGGCAGTGACTCACACAAGTCTCCGACCACAGTTAGAAAGAAAGGAGAGTATTCAGCTGAGGGAGGTATCACGAGGTCTTCAACCTCCCCTTCAGTCCCTTCTACTGCAACTCTCTTGACTACTGGTCCTTTGACCAGAGTGCAAGAACTGTCTCCACTGTCAGCGCTTGATCCAGAGCTAAAGCGGCTCCTCTTGCCCGAGCTCTGAGTGGGTCGGACCGGCCGACCGCGGTCGTACGCTAATGTCACAGGGCTAGTGATAACAGTCTTATACCGTTTAGCACCGAGATCAGGATTGCTCGAGGATCTATTAAGAGAAGTCGAGTACTCCTCCAGATCGTGTTCATTAAACACATCTACGATTGAGAGGACAGAAACCCTCTTTCTTTCGTCTAATTGGGTCAGTGCAGGCGACTCAGCAGCTGACTGCGCCCTAGATTGGGAGCGCGTGACCATCCTGTTAGGGGAGCGAGAGCGTGAACGCTCTTTCAATCCTGTATAATCATTTCCAGTTGTATCGACCGCGGAGGACCGCCGACTACTCCTTTCAATTTCCGCCTCTGTTAATTTCTCCAGCATAACAACAGGAGATTGTAATTGGCTAGTCAAATTATCTGTCCCAATCAAACTGGGGACCCAAGAGCCACTAGGTTCCCTGAATGAAGGTGTAGAATCTCTAGAGTAGTCCCTTCGTTCAGAGACACAAACTTGACTACTGGAGCTTTTAGGTAAGTTCCTGACAGTGGGAACAGGAAAGCCTCTTCTGCCTCTACCTGCACCACCTGCACCTCTGCCTATGCTACTACTAAGCCTTGCAAACTTTTCTCGCTGACCCTTTGGAGGGTCTATTGCAGAACCCGGTTGACTCTCATAAGAGAAGCTCGCCAGGTCTTGGCCCTGAGAAGGGCCTTAATCTTCACTCTGCGCACTTCCGCCTGCGCTGGGCCCATCCCCTCTGTACGGGGAATCGACCACTGCACTCCGCCCGCTTTCGCCCGGGCAAGGCTCGCCTTCGACAACTGGCGGGTTTTTAATTTTTAAATTAGAATCTTCCATGATGTTCCCACGAGAATAACGGTACACCTGACCACCCAGACAGAGCCGAATATCTGGGCTAGGCTAGGGTTGTGAAGGTGAGGGTCGCCTGTTCCCCACCTCCAGAGGACGTGTCGCGACTGGGAAAAGCCCCCAGCCACAAACCCCTCGGCCACGTCAACCTTGGGCTAGCTGATTTTTATTGAGGTTGTCCCCTCTTGGGGTCACCCAACTAAGGGCAGCCCCCGCCCCGGCTCCACACTTGCGGAGTAACGAGGTCGGCTGATGGTTGCCACAAGAGTAGCACCCGTCGCTCATGCTACCGTGACACGACGGGCCCAGCGCCTTCACTGGCACGGCCGCTTCTCAGGCTACCCAGGGCGCCCGTCCAGTCCGAACCACGCCGCCGCTTCCTGACTTACCGTCGGGGCGCCAGCCCAGAGCCCGCACTCCAAAGTGCCAGGGGACAGAACCCCCTGACACACACCGCACGACAGTCCCTGAAGGGCACGGGCACAACACGGTCCCCCTCCGAAGAGAAGACCAAACCCACCACCACCCTGCTCGTCAGCCGCTACCCGGAATAAGTCCGCGACGCCTGACGAGCTCCGACGTGCTGCTTTTTTGGTCCACGACGGCCGAAGCCGCTACCCCCATCCGCCACCCGGGGGACGCGCCCAGTAGCGGAAGGCAGCTGAAACCCGCCCTGGGAAAGAAGAAGAATCTGAAACAAGTGAAAGACAAGATGCAGATTATTTACAAGAACAAAATGACATAAACTTGCAACAATCCTATGCGGACAAACTTCCTATTTCAGTACTAAAGTATAAAGATTTTTTAAAAATTGTGCACAGACAGAACGATACCTAAACGGTTCTACAACGATTATATAAAGATGCCGTACAGTGGTAATCAAAATCAAAATAAAAATTATTTATTCAATTTAGGCTGTTCTAAGCATTTGTGAAAGTCGACAGCTACGCCATAATAAATATGATACTTTAATTGCGACCGATGAAGAAGATGTAGACGTGATTGAATATGTAACGTATGTTGTTTCTTCTTTTTGATAAACGTATAAAAATGTGACGGGTTTGGTGCTTGGGCCAATTGTTGGAAGAAATACCCAGATTGTCCTTAACTGCATCAATCAACAGCACTATTGTTAAAATTGCGAAATGGAGACTCAAATGAGTGAATTGCTTCACTATTTAAAATGCCCCGAAGTACTTTAGATAACCTAATGTCCAAGGCAGGAGCAATTATGCATAAAGATTTTGTGCCTCATAATTTAAATTTTTCACATATTACTAGAGAGGACCCTTCAGATACCTTTTAGTCTTTTTTTGGGGTTTCATTTCGGGGTGCAAATGCAAATGGGGAAACAATTCCAATTGTCATTGTGGATGGTACCTTTATTTATTGCAAATTACAATAAAATCAAAAAATTAATTACAAATACCAAAAAGATACTTACTCATTGCACAAGTGTAGGAACCTTGTAAAGCCATTTTTATTATAAGCCATATTTATGCTATGATGGGGTACATTATCGAGATTTTAGGCCCTTATACAGCGATAACGTCAGATCCTGAGATTATGAGAAACGAATTTAATGACGAAACACAGCCACTGAGTGTTATGTATGTATACATTATAGTACCTATAAGATATATACCCGGCTGCTTCCCGCACCCCCTTCCCTTTGCTCGATGCAAGCGCATCACTGAATCAGTGTTGCCAACTACACCTTTATTACAATAAAAATACCGTAATGACCAAAGATCTACCACCTACCATAGGTTTATAATTACAGTAGCAAAAAACATCGTAATATCCATTGAAGGAACAAGGATTCATTGAAGATCATTTAAAATTATAAGTAATAAAACTAAAATATATTTAAGTAGTTGGTACATGCTTTGTTCCCACCGATACATTACGCTATCGATTACGATACGATTTCAAAAGCATAAAATACATATGTATAAAAATACCGAAATAATTATACTGTCCGATCCCAATTATTATGTGTTTTTCTACTCTGACCCAAAACGTATTGCTAAATATACGAGGTAGTTCTACCGTATTCGTATTGAAAAATCTACCGTTATTTTAAAAGATTTCTACCATCCGTTAGATTACTGAAAGAACTGAATAAAGCAGTGAGTTACAGACAACCGGTCGTTTCATTTGTGCCAACTGCATACTTAACAGTGGCGACGAATTAAGATACCCGCGATTTAAGTAAAATTAGACTTGATTGCTACAAAAGTGAAAAATTACCGTATTGGGTATTTTAAATAATTTCGAACACAATGTACAAATATGGAATAATTTACATTTACAAAGTGAGTGAAGTCTGGAGTTTTTAAATTTCGAAGAGGCACTCCGTGACAAGTTCATAATGGGTATGCGACCAGGTACAGAAAAACAGAAACGTGCAAGATATATGTGCAAGATCTCAGCGACATGAGTAGTTAAAGCTGTTTAGATGTGTTAGGTTATTAAAAGAAGTTATGACTTTTACTTAATATGATCATTTTGTTTTGTAAGAAATTTGAATAAAAAGGAACGAATCTGATTGTCTATGCACAAAATACCAATACATTGTTTAATATTATGATGTTGTTAATTAATGATTTTCCCTGTTAAACTTGCATGTATATTAAATTCATAATTAAACATTGTTTAAGAAAAGAAATAATAGTAAAAATGCCTAAAGTTATATTAATAAGATATGAGCTTTACTTTTCGGTTCACTCTATGATTCTAAGTTGTTCAATAAAAAGTATAGATATAAATACTATTATAAAACTAAATCTATTAGAATATTAATATATTGATTAATCTCATAAAATTATAAAGTTTGTAAGAATTTATGATTAACAATCTCAATTAGTTTTCCGTTTGACCTTTATCATTAGTCCGATCGTTTTGTGTTATGGCACTCTTGTTTTTGATGGGAAAAGGGAGCAGGTACGCTCTGGCGATTCGGTTTTCGTGTTTGGTCGGAGTTTGCAGGAAAGAAAAACGAAAGCTAATCATAGAGGTTAAATACATTTATGTATAGATCAAGGACTTTCAAATGACCATTATACAGTCTCATTGTAATTAATAAATGATAAAAGTCATATGGTGTTTCATTAGTGAGAAAAGTAACAGTTGGCAAAAAGTTTGGGTTCTGCTCGAGCCACGGCCGCTGCCAGCGTGGCCGGTCCATTGCCAGCAGACACACCTATGGAAGTATACAAAATATAAAAAAATTACAACGACAGTAAAAATAAAAAAGAGAAATGTAGTATTTGTGGATACACGAATCATAAAGAGGCTGAGTGCGAATTCGCAGTAGAAAATGTCATGTAAAGGGCCACTTGCATAAAATGTGTACGAAAGTGAATTACGTAGAGGTGGACAACGGTGACGTGGACGAGGACGAAGATGACGGTAATGTTTTTTTTATACGTTCAGTTCGAGGCGAACATCAATGGTGGAAACAATATTTAGTAATAACATTCAGTTTCAATTTGAAATCGATAGTGGTTCCGCAGTTTCAGTTATTTCGGAAAAATATTATAAAAAATATTTTGAAAATTTGCTAAATATTTTTTATAACACCCAACACTGCAACGGTTGATGACTTATCATAGCAAAGAAATTAACGATGGGCGATTTTTGCAAAAGAACTATCGACTGAATCGAAAATTGTGCTACTGCGCATTCGATTGTCGATTTAGTAGTGCTCCGCCATGATTATTCGAATAACAATCGTCTTAACTACAAACTGTACGAACACCATGTGATTATTCTCGGGTCGGGTGGTACGGTGCTGCGTCTGCTGTTTACTTACTTTATGAGTACTTAGTTGGTAAATGCCTTAAACGAGTGTTTTGTTTTGAATTAGTTTAAAAAGTAACACTGCTGAAGATCCAGTTACGTGATTCTATTCACAGAAGATTTTCTTACGTAAAAAATCTCCACATTTAATGATTATTTAATGTTCCACATTTAATGTCTCGGTCACGATCAGCAGCTATTACGTATCTAGATGTTGATGAACCTAGACCTGTTCAAATTCAGATACAGCTACCGAAGGGGTATTCACTAAGAAAATATGATGATTTGTGGGATTCACATGATAATTTTGCATCATCTGTCACAATTACAAGTGAAAATGAGTTGGGTTTGAATCATCCTGGTCCCCTTTTTGAAGAGCATCTTACATGTTTTTTAAAAGAACCATTGCTTCTGAGGAATGCTGACGTACTGTATGTTGCAATTAAATACTTATCGGCTCCTCCCAGCAGTGTTGTTAGTGAGCAATTGTTCAGTGCTGCAGGACAAATATATGCGGACAGACGATCTAACTTTATTGGTGAAAATAGATGTAGATAAATTATTATTTTTAGCATATAACATAAGGCTGTTTAACTTTGATTACTAATATTTTTAATTAATACATATCGTCAATGAAATACTGATGAATCAAGTCTGACTTGATTTATTAGTTTATATATATATATATGTCGTCAACGAGTCTATTTTTATATCGGAATGCCAACGCCATCTATCGGCGTTCGACAGAATCTACGCTTCACAGTGCTGGTAATAAAGCTTCGCGCCAAAATGATGGACGCGGGCTGTAAAAGGAGTCTATGACCTGTTTGTTATCGAAGAACAGTAAAAAAGAATAAGAAGAATTTTTGGCGGGCTGTGTGTGCGTGGAGACTGTCTCGCGTTCCGTTGTGTATATTAAAACTAATTTAAGTAATTCTAATTATAGTGAAAGAAGTTGTTATAATTGTTTTGGATTGTAATTACAAGATTTGTGAAAGCATTATCCTAGTGTTATTATTTGATCCGACACATCCCCACATACGCTCACGATAGTTACTAACAGCTAATTATGGAAGATCAATCCGAACCCCGTCCTCCGTTATATATATATATATATATATAAGTTAACGACATTTGCTCTTGAATTTCTTTTATCAATTTTAAAACTTAAAAAGGACATGCCTACAAGATGGAATTCTATTTTGTTCATGATAGAACGATTTTCAGAAATCAGAATTCCACTATCTGCGTCACTTATTTCGTTGATAAAGCTCCCGAAAATCTCGAAGCAAGCGAGTGGGCATTAATAAATGAGATTATTCCAATTCTAAAGCCTGTCCAAAAAATAACAGAAAAATTGTCAGGAGAACAATATCCAACACTGTCGAGAATCATTTGGTAAGAGGATTGCAGCATGTATTATCAACAAAAGCTCCGACAACTGATATCGGAATCAGTTTGAAAAACAGCTTAACCTTTAATAAGGCGCGCGGGGTCGCCATGACCCCAAGTGATCTTCAAGTTAAGTTATTTTTTTAGCTAATAACGCTGGCAACCCTAATTTCTTGCTAGCTTGCTAACTCTTTAGTTTCCACTCGATTCAGTGTTGCTCGCGGCGCGGAGTTGATCACACGTGCTGCACGGAGTGCTTGGGGACGCGACGACCCCGCGCGACTTATAGTGTAGTTCGAATTTAGGTAAGTAAATATTTTATATTATGATTTTAAGTAGTTTTTTTTTCAAATTATTTTGTCAATTTACAAGAATGGGGACAGGAATTGCAACAACAATATGTCAAGGCACAGAAGATGCTACCAAATGGAATGAATGCTTGGGTCCACAACAATTTGCATTAATGCATCACTACTTGTTTGAACCACATCCTTATCCAAGATTGAAGAGAAATCCTGTGCTAACTGAGGCTGGAATATTTCTATCCATTGCTTGGAAATGCAACTTATTCCAAGCCTGGAAGCAGGTACAATTAGGGCCTGGGGTTACTGTACAAAATGAAATAATATTTTTAAATCAAAATTTTTATAACAATTATTTTATTTTAAATTGCTTAATTTACGTTTTTGAATTCATAAAAGACATTTGAATTCTCCCCAACGTTCAAAATGTAAGAATTTAAAGTTCGTTAAACTCTTACATTTTGTAACATAAAATATAAATGTTACAGAAATGTAAGACTGACCTTGTTAAATAAAAAGTGTAGTATTAAAATTTACAAAAGTTAGTAAGTACGAGTAGATTACTTATTCATCGTTAGATTTCTAGTAAAATTTTAATTTATTATATTATATAAAATATCCAAGACATTTTCTATTCCGAAACCTTCATCTCTAAGACACTTAAAGAAAAGAAATAAGAATGTGGTTGAGAATCAATTTCTTGCACAACATATGCTTGATCATCATCATTTGATAATCATCATGATTGAAAAACATATGATTGGATTAACGATAAACAATATTCGGCATCTGGCGTTACGAAATTGCAGAAATTCACAATATTCCGAAAAATTTTAACAAAGAAAAACGTGCAGCTAGTAAGAGATGTTTTAAAAATGTATGGCAAGACACCGAGAGCTTAGTGTTAGACAACCAGAAAACACGTCACTAAATAGAAGAAAAGATCGTCGATGAAAATGGCATTACACCCATTAACATTTTCAATGTTGACGAAAGTGGATTTTCCACGGTACAAAAAAGCTCAAAAAAACGCAAGACTAAAGGGAAAGAAATTCGGTGTAGCTACAAGTGGAGAACGTGGAATGGACACCACTGCGGTATGTTGCGCTAGCGTACTGTTATAATATAATTTCTATTAGTTCTTATTAAAATGAAAAACGCAACATAGACGTTTCCTATCGCATTGTCGTCATGCAATAGGAAACCGAGTCTTGAACGCAATAATAATATTTAATAAAATCAGTTTTGGATTGTACTCCCGTCGGACAACATATTGACCTAAAATAGTGTAATAAATCGTTTTGTTCATACAAATAAATGAAGTGTTAAATAATATAAGTTTTTTTTTAAAAGCCATTTCTGACCGCCCCCGTAACAGTGGTGTCAGAAGTGGGATACCAGTGACTTTTTTCGCCGCTTCCGCTGGTATTCCATAACGGGGTCGTGCAAAAATAAAGTGACTAAAGTTAACAAATGCCAATCCAGCTCCGAGATGTAGTTATCAAACTTCGTCAAACTCTCCGTCTCCTGTAGTTGTATCGCGACAGTAAGCCTTGCTTCGTGTAAGCCTGCCAAACAGCTTCTAGACGTGCTGCTGCCACCGTTGGTGAGTCGCCCTTGTCGTCGCCGCTGGAGTGACGCCCTACAGCCGCGGCTGGTATATGCTCAAGGTGAGGGTGAGTGGGACAAATGGGTTACTCGAACCGGTAACACAGCCTCTCATTCTAAGCCTCCAATGTCGCACCTGACACCAACTCCCTATATCTATATCCAGTCCGTAATCCTAGTGCATCTTGTTTCTATAGGGCACTCCCAGATGTGCGGGCACAATGGAGGGTGGGAAACGGACTGGATGAAGACTTTACTCTACACAGTATGGACACACAAAGGTTCAATTCACTGCCACACACATCAGCAACTGCTGACTCAATTGCTTCTGAGCAGGCCTCAATGGTATCCTCAGAAGTGCACAACACACCCGAAGGGAAACCGGAGGCTAACAATACCAGCTTGATTACACCCCAAAAAGGGACCACTACTCTGCCTGAGCAAGATTGGACTCTTGTAGGAAGGAAGAGCGGAAAGGTGACACAGGAGGAAACTCCTACTGCCACTGCTCAAGCTTCCCTAAAGAAGTCCAAGAGGAAGGAGAAGCAGAAGGCAAAGATGCAGCGGCAGAAGCAGCTCAGACGGGAATCCCGAATGACTGCATCAGCCAGCAACCGAATTGTCCCGACCACTGGCACGGTACAGGGAACGCAAAGGGTAGCTGAAGGTGGGCAGCAGGGAAACCTGCCAACACCAAAGCAACCCCAAGTGACACCCACTACCAGCCGGGACAAGGAGCCCTGAACGTATAGAGGAGCAAAAGGCAACATGTTGCCTGAGCAAATGGAACGGGTACAGAGTCAGGAAAAGGACCGCCCACTGCCAAAAGGGAAGGGGAAAGGCGAAGTCTAGCACCAAGAGGGCACGACTCGATGAGACTGTCTCCTAGAGGAGAGCCTAAAAGGCAAAAGACCGAGTCGATAACCGAACCTAACCCCCGCCCCATCTCAAAATCCTATACCTCATTTGCATCTGCAGCGACCTCGTCGGACAGCCGAATAGCGGTCACGTCGAGCGAAAGATTTATCTCTCGAGCGACGGCGGAGATGGTCGAGGATTAGATCGAGGAAGCGATAATGCAGATTGCGCAGACAAAAGTACGCCACGAGTGTGCCAAGGTTGCCTTAGTGTTTAGTGGGAAACCACTCTACATAGATGGGTGCCTTAGGTACACGTGTGGAAATCCTCACACCACGGAATGGGTCCAACAACAAGTGCGAAGCTTACCTAATCCTGATGGAGTTGAGCTCGTTGTCCTTCGGGCTGACGAGATCCCCAGAAGGGTCAGGTGCGGTTTCGTACTTCCAAAACTGTGGAAGAGCGACCGGTCAGTACTAGGCATCTGCCTAGCGATCGGGAACCCAGACATCAACACCGAAAGATGGGTACTAAACGGCATCCACTTGCAACCCAATTTCGGTACGACTTTCATAAGTCTCTCGATTCCAGAGGAGGACGTGCCAGGGGGCGCAGACTCTGCTTCATCTCAGGGTGTACCTGAAGTTCAGGAACGCGAAGGGGAAGGTAAGCTCATACAAGCCACTGTTAACGACGTGAGAGCCTGTATATACACTTCAAAAGATATAAAAACTCAGCCTTTAACAAATTTCTGTTCCAGAGATCTCTGTGCCACAAGGCTGACCATGAAACATGATAACCATAACTGCGATATGATCCTAGCATCTGCGTACATGCACGAAAGAGAGCGAGCACCATCGGAGGAGGTCGCCTCCTTGGTCCGCTTCTGCGCGCAGGAGAACATGGAACTAATCATCGCAACAGACTCCAACGCTCATCAACACCTAGTTGGTTACCTCTGATGTTGTTTTTCTTCAACGATGAAGAAAACCTTCGTTTTCTCCACCGATTCTTAATTTTCATTTTTTACATCAACGCGCATATTGTTAGGGACTTAACTGTGAAAATACGGCGAACCATTGCGAGTGTAGAGTCGTTGTTTAATTCGCGGCAAGTTCGCGCCGTTATCCATAGACTCAGTGTAGAGCGTGCTTCACTACGCCATGGTCGCGCGCGTCTCCCAGTCTAGGGCGACGGGTTGTTGCCGGGCGCGGCGGGGATGCACGGCAGTATACGCTAGGGATGATCGATATTCATCGATGTATAATCAACAGTACGTCCAAGAAGAGTTGATAAATATTGCTTACCTATAACAACGTAATGATTCTGTTGGTAAACCACCATAACGTGTTTCGAAACTTCACGTGCCTATGATGCTATAGAGGATTATCTAGGTTAGAAAATATATTAGCTTTTATTTATGAAGGTAGCATGCACCATACTATATGTTAAGTACAGTAGTGTAAAAAATATATTAGGAAAATTTATGGGAAAGATAGAATATAAGATATAGAAATACGGAAATATTATAATATAATTAAACCAGGTTCGTACTACATGAAGAATAAGTTAGTTATAGTGTTTAAATTTCTTATAATAGCAATAGAATTATCCTTAGCACCCAATAAAAACGATTAGGTCCTTTTACCCCATCTATCCATATATATCGACCGTGGGGTAATCATTCATCTACATGGAGACTGAATGCCCGAAGGTAGAAAAATCAGCATCTTTGTGTAGAAAATATTAAAAATCATCTTTATCATTAGGGCGATTGTATTCATAACCTTATCACAAACCAATCATTAGATAAGAACTGCAACTTAACCACAATCGAGTTGAAAAAGAAATGTTATAATTTATTATTAGAATCACCTGAACCTATACCAGATTCAAGTGAAACTTTATCGAGAAATACTGAAGCAGAATTTCACATCACACTGCCTACAATAAAAAAGCAGGGGCCATTACTAACCGTTGCTTGTTTCCAGAGTATGATGATCGTGAAAAATTTCGCACCCCACAGTCAATACGAAAAAGGGTGCTTGTCAATTCCAATTTTTATATCCTTATACATGCTAGGATTAGTAAGCACCACCTAAACAGCATGTTATTTCATAATTCTGTAAACCATTGTCCTGCTAGTTATAAAAGATAGGTATGGTGTTTGTAATAAAAGAACTCACACAATTTGATTTTAGAAATCCTGAAAATATAGAAGATCATTTATTTCAATATTGGTATGATCTTATAAAGAGTGAGTGCAATCAAGTGGTTTCATAAGTGCCAAGACTAGAAAACATGATAATTAAATTAGGATTTATTGCCCTCCTATGCAAAATGGGAACAGAGGATAGGGACGAAACATTTTCATAATTATTTCAAATTCTAAGGAGGACATTACAAGATTATGTTCCACAACATATGTGATAGCAAGTGATGTGATAGCAAGAAATTCATATATAGCTGAACACTTATTTGGAAACCCAGAAGATACATTAGAAAACATAAATGTTATTGTTATTG